CAAATCTACCAATGTAACGAGTTTGCAGCTTATCATGGAATGAATTATAATATAAGGACATTAAGTTAAAATCAAGTCAGGTCGAAGAGCTCAGAAGGTCGCTGGATCGGAAAAGTAAAGTATCAAGTCGAGACTCCACTTACTCCATACACAACTTCCTGAGTTTCTTTTGCCCATCAATACAGTATTATCACTGATATAATCATCACTGCAGATAGCATGATGGTTTAGTGATGTAAGTCATGCATCTCTCCACACAGAAATGTTGATTACATCTAAGAAGTAAGACCTCTGTTTTGACACTGGATATGTAGCACCAAAGTATAGAGAACAGAGATAGAGTTGTTTAAGCTGTATTCAATAATCAAATTGAAATAATTATGATGACACTGATACTGATAATAAAATCACAAGCTTGCTGAGGCCTATAAAATTATTTATGTAGGCTACCAAGCCCATACATTAGTTTTCAAACGATAAAAATACAGCACAAGACGGATAGCTCGAATTCGTCGGGACCGGCCTCAGTATTTCGAGGGACCCATAGTTTGAGGGACATCTAACAAAGATAAAGAAAATCTTTAAAAAAAGAGACCACAGGCACACTTCGACAGATACGTGATTTTGAGTCTTCTGTGTTCGACCTATCCGTGTTATACTGTATGTGCACTCTTTCAATGCAGCTTCTACTCAAGTTTTTGAGAGTTCGAAAGAACTTGCGATCCTGACCTTTTTACTGGTCATGAAAATTTCTCAAATTGCAAGTCACTGAGACCAACAAAAAAATCTGAGCAAAACAACAAACAAACAAACATTTAAAAAGTATACATTATCAATGTTCTTGGCAGTCTCATAGCTCAGCACATAAAACGAGAAGACTTTTCTTTCTTTTCACGTTCGGAAACTCTTTTTTCCCTCTTTCTCTTTCACCCGTCCCCTCTCTTTCTTTCTCTCACTCTCACGTTACTAAACAGAAAGGCTTACTTTTAACGCACCGAGCAACTGGAAAGACATTAATAAAAATCAACAAAATAAATAGATTTACATTAATACACATTTTCTGCAAAGTACAATATCAGTAGCCTACTATTTTTTAAATAAAATCGCACAACCTAATGAGGCAAGATGAAGTGTGGCTGGGGATGCAGATGGAAGAAGGACAATGACAATGTACTACGAGTAGAAGGAGGAGAGATAAAGGACGATAGATGTTTGATAGGAAAGAAGAAACAAGCCATACCAGTGCATCCGCCAACCACCCACACTGTACAGCTTGAAAATTTGAAGGATTGCATTTATGCTTTTAACAGATTGCAACCAAATGAAATCACAAATGGGCATGATTTGATCGGTGAATATCTGGGGTTGCCAGTTATCAGCCCGGTGACCCCTAAGATGGCAGGCACCAGACAGCCTTTTATTTTTGTCTCAGGGACCTTGACACATAATAATATGGTGTAGCTTCTGATCCAGCAGAAATGTTCATTTTGAAATTACATTCATTAAGTTCAACTGTGTTTCAATTTCATACACACACACAACCAGAGAGAGAGAGTCAGAGAGAGAGAGAGAGAGACAGAGAGAGGGAGAGAGAGAGACAGGGAGAGGGAGAGGGAGAGAGAGCGAGAGAGAGAGAGAGAGAGAGAGAGAGAGAGAGAGAGAGAGAGAGAGAGAGAGAGAGAGAGAGAGAGAGAGAGAGAAGATTTTCAGCTCTAAAAAATACATACACACGATACAAATCATCAACAAAAGTACCCTCCACTTTTCAAACACAGATCATACATCATTTCACTTGACTTCTCTCTCTCTTCTGGCACTGTGGCGTCATAAACGGTCAGCGATGCCGACAGTACGCAGGAACTCAACAGTCGCTCGGGGGTCCTTGAAAAGTGCTCGAGTGTTTCACTTGACTTGACATTGGGCAGTGTCAGCTGCTCTATTTACCACAGAGGACACTGAGAGAACTACACTAAACCACCTGCCCTGCTATTCTGCGAACTTCACGTTTATCCCAAGGATGGCAGTATAAAATGAGGTTTGACAGTACTCTTAAAGAAAAAAAATGGGAACAGAAACTTCAGTTCAAGAAATACACATTTTCAAGTTTGATTCAACTTGTGTTCGAGACTGGCATGCTGACAAAAATCATCAAAATATGAAAAAAAGATAATACAGCATCAGACACAACACACACTGGCAAATAACTACTAATACTAGAGTAACCTTATACATAAATTTGTCTAAATACAGTCAAAGTATGAGCTGTACAAACAAGCAGACCCAGTGGCACCTCTAACAGAATATTCAATAAATAATGTCACAGGTATTGGGATGATTGTAAGTGTGAGCTGAGCATGGGAGCAGGATAATCAGACAATGACAATGTGGTAGAGTGCGGGTGCGGAGGGAATGCTTCATTCTTTCAATTAAAAGAGCTCTGTGCAGATGTCCATCAAATACAATCATCATCAACTTACTTCCAGCAAAGACTTTCCACTTTATCTTATCCTGAGATACCTTAACTTTTCTCCTGTGCATCATTCTCGGTAAAATTTTCTCCAGATTAGACTTAATTTAATTTGTTTAAATAGTGTAGTATACACACACACACAGCTTTCATCTCTTCCAGGCAAAGTCGAAAATAATTTTGAATTATCATTTCTTACACATAACTACAAGTTCACACAGCATGATACTTAAAAGACTGAGAATAGCAATTCTGTCAAAGATAGGACTACCGTACACTACAACTAAAAGGACCCAGTATGCTCAGCTACAAGGCTAGCACCATTATGACGTTAACTGCTCCACATTTTATTAGTTTTTAAAATTGTAATATTTAAGCAAGTCTGAAGTATCTATATAAAGCGTTAATGTAACAGCCACTGAAACAGGTCATTTCGTAACACGGTCATCTCGTCATACAAAAATTATGTGTGACGAAATGACTTTGCTTGTCTCTCCAAAATTGTATGCTAGTACTACTAGAGTGTTTTGGAGGAACAGTGCCAGTAGTCTTTATTCTAAGATCACCAGTTTAAGCACGTAATTATTGGACAGTGCCTTCTTGTTTTAAAGTAATTTAAGCCTAAAACTGCCCCCCCCCCCCCCCCCAACCAAAAAGAACTCGACAAAACTCACCCAGGTATGAACTTTTTAGTTTTAGTAAAGGGTTTTACGGCGCTCGGAACTGCATGAGCGCCAATGGCCTAAAGACACAACAGTCAGTGGCACCGCTTGGGGGGGGTATGACAACGGTGTAGCTTTCCAGGCAGGCACAACGGCTTGCCCCCCCCCCCCACACCACCCAAAAACTCTTCCCAAAAATCATGATTTGCGATTGCCACGACAATTATGTGTGTTCGATGTTTGCAGGTGCGTGACAAAATGACCGTCTCCATTCAACCTTTTGTGGATTTGGGTGAGACGAGATGACAGTGATGTCTTGACTGCATCGGTGTGACGAAACGACTGACCTGGTACTCACAGCCGCCACTCCGTCACAATGCCCCCCCCCCTCCACAAAAACTTACATAGTCTTCAATGATTCATACTGATTTCTGTTCACGTATTCTAAACCATCAGAGGGGATGGGAGAATTAATAAAAGGAAATAACAGAGCAATTTTCCAATTTGTTCCAAGAACTAAACCAATATTTTCGATCCATCCAAGATTGTAATCATGAATTTTGTATGTACGCTCATGCACACTCTGTCCATTTACAGCATTTATCAAATGATAAATAAACAAGCCAGTGCTTAAACAAAATCCAACTAAACAGAGTGAAGTCATGAAAGTTTCAAATCCCGACATCTTATCAGCTGGTGCAAACATCCAAGATACAAGTGGAAAAGTAACGGTGAGGATTGTTTTCAAAGAAATATTACCAAACAAATGGTAAAAATAATCCATGTTTAGCATGCAAGAGTAACCAGCAGCAAGCGCCATGTATAGAACAAGTCCAATGTAGTACCGCTGATTGAAGAGTCCGATGCAGTTTCCTGTAAATGTGCAGTGGTGGTCCCTCTTGAGGATGCATATTTTGCAAATGTGACAATGAAATGATCTTGGTGGGGCGTTGCTTTCGCACACAACACAAAAATGCCAGCCCCCAGGTTTCAATATTGAGGGCAAAACTTTCCCTCTGATGGTCGAGTTGGTCGAAATAATTTTGTATAGGTTGAGCACAACATTGCAGTAAAAAAAAAGTCCCATTGATACGTGAAAGTAGTAGAGGGAGAACCCGTTTGTGGATGTGACATGGTCTGGTGAAGAGTAGATTGTTGGCAAAACGTGAAATAGTTCAAAGAGACCTACTCCATGAACTGATCCCAGAAGGAAGAAGAACGCGATGGTGTCACTTGTCGTTTTTGGTAAGTACCGCCTTAAAAGCATCATGGACATGTTTATTGTTGGCTAAGTATAGATCTAGTGCAACAAGCAGGTGAAACAAACAAGTGAGATTTTGAGTCTAGATCTAGATAACCTAGAACCAAATATTACATTACGGTATACGTAATCTTGAACGTGCCGTAGATCTAGAATCTGGATCTAGAGTTGTGGAGTGGGCGCTGCCTTGGTATCTTTGGCAATCGATGGGGAAAGTTTGATTGCGAAAGTTGGTATTTCCACTTGCCAGTTAAACCCTGAGGGGAAGTAAGCCTACGTGACTAGCAGGAAAAAAAAAATTCTTCAGATATTGAGGCTTTAGATATAGAATTTTGCATATTTGAAGCATAAGAAAGCTTTTAAAACATCAAAAAGAGATTGTACGTCGATAAAAACTTGGAGATTTTTAAAAAGAGAAAGACAGAGTGACAAAGATGAAGCAAAAAAAAATCGGCAAAGCTATGGGGTTTTGCACATATTTGGCAATAGGACAATGATAACCTCTTTTCTCAGAAGAGTAATGTTTTCTTTCTGGTGGCACTGGCCTCCCTTGACTTGTCCTGTAGATTAATAAAGTAAAGTAGATCAACTTTGTTTTGATTGTGAGTGAAGTAATGGAGGGTGGAGAGAACACACGAAGGAGACAAAACAGTCCTTAGTGCTTGAATAGAGCTACGTCTATCAATCACGAACAATGTACTTTTGAAGCTCGATGGTATTTTTGAAGAGTGGAATACTATCTACGGCTAGACACTAGACTAGACAGCTGGGCAAGCCGTACTTTTTAGAATCTAATCTAGAATCTAGATCTAGACTAGATTCTAGATCTAGATCTAGAAATCTAGAGTAGAGAGAGTTTAGATTTCTTAGATAAGATGGCTAGACTGACCATAAAAAAAGTAGGCCTACTGAAAATATTAATTTTTAGTTTGCAGTACCTAACCTAAAGTAGAATCTAGATCTAGATTTCTAGATCTATTTGTATTTGAGTTTGAGACGAAACCAGGTGCCTTAATGCCTTAATGAATGACAGTATTTTAAACCTCCGGTTTTCGGTGCTTTTTTGGTAGTTCCCATCCCCCTTATTTGAGCCTGACCTAGATTCTACATCTAGATGTAGATCTAAAAATCTAGAATCTAGATGTAGATCTAGATATATATTTGATCTAGACTAGATCTATACGTTTGATTCAAACTTAACAACCGCAAAAGATTAAATTGTGGTAAAATTCAGCCCAGGGCTCTCAGACTTCCGCGGATCCTCGAATTTCCGGGGTTCGCGGTTCGGAGAAAGTCCGGGGCTGAGATCAGCGGCCGCGGAATGGCTGAGCATCGCGCGGTCATGTTTCCGTCACGCTTCGCGTCTGCACGGGTTTCATATTTTATCTTCTCCGAGAAAAAATGCGAAAATTTGGAGAACATAATAATAGAGCGATGTATAGAATCTAGTAGTTTGGCTCTAACCGCCCACCTTTACTTCCTGTTCATAACTACTAGACTACTTACTTTGCCTTTCCGGTCTTTATCGAAATCGGTTGACTTTCATAATTTTTTATGCGAATGCATGTATCTGGCAACATTTTCTTTTCCTAAAGACGTTTTCTTGCTCTTCCTTTTGCAATATTTGTAGGCCTACTTGTGCACTTTGTTGCGTCTATCGCGATCCTCCGACAAAGTTCAGGGGTTGGGAAAATTTTTCACTGGGAGCCCTGAAACCCCCCACCTTATTTATATTAGGTCAGGGGGGCAAACCCCCCTGAAACCCCCCTACTCTTGGGGCCTAAACCAATATGAATAACAATTGGGGGGTGGGAACTACCGAAAAAGCACTCGGTTTTCTAATGTTAATAAGGCCAAGATAAGTACGGCTATACTGGAAGTCTAGCCGTACTTAAGTACGGGTAGACAGCTAGGCTAGCCGTACTTAAGGACAGCTAGTCTGTCAGGCTAGCCTTACTTAATATTGATGACTGTAATTGTAAATGAAATTTTTAGTTTGCAATGCCAAAAGTAGTTTTGTATTTTATACAAAACCAAAATGTGCCTTACTGACTTGCATGTATTTGAACCTGAATAATTACTAGATCTTGATCTAATAAGACCTGTGTACTTAACAGGTTTGAGTCGATAGGGCCAAACCTAGATCTAGACTCCCAGGCTAGCCACTTCGTAACTTGAACTTGAAGGATGAAGGCTGCTTATGAAAGTGAATCGTTCAGTCATTAGATAAGATTCAAGATTTCATTCATAACGATTAACTAACGACGTTTGTTCTACATTCGTCACGATGACGATGAGTACTCTTTCAACATTAGATCTAGATTATAATCTAGATCTACAGCCTACACTTTCTAATTTAATACGAGACTTTAGATCTTGAAATCTAGATCTGGAGGCCTAGATTTCATGTCATTGTTATGGTATGGCCACGTCTCTATCTATGAGAATAGTGCAGGCGAGCCTTTTGGCTATTCTCACGCGGTGCGCGTTCACTGTGATTGCCTAGCTAGGCCAACCAGTGTAGTGTTCGCCATGAACAAACGTTAAAACGTTCTTGTGTTGAAAGCGTGCAATTTTGTCTGAGCAGTGAGAAAGAAAGAGAGAGAGAGGGGTGGGGGGAGAGATAGATAAAGAGAGAGTAGTTAGCGTGAGAACTTCTATGCAAAACAAAATGGAGACCCACATAGTTCGGCTCCATTCGAAAAGTTAAATTTATAGCCGTAGCATCTTTGTAGACGACCAAATTAGCTTACTTTACTTAAATTGTGCTATACCGTCATTTGTTCTTTGCTTAAAAATTGTCAATTTGATCATCCACATCAATAGACAGTATTCCGAAATTAGGAAAAACCGGTCTTGCTTCACACCGGGTGAGAATTGCCATCGCTGGCAAGTCTCACCCAGGGTGAGAGGTGGATCGTATTTTTATTCTCACCCTGGGTGAGGATAGCCACTTCCCATTATTGTAGTGGTCGCTCATTAGATCTACATCATCAGTGATCAGAATTCCTCTGGTAATAATAGAGATAGACTTTGTCTTGCACAAATCTGCTCAACAGCAAGCTCTGTGCGCTTCACAATCTATACACTAGGGTTGGGTCGGGCTCGCAAAATTAGCGTCCGCGAGTAACGAACTACTCGCTGGCACTGCCCGCAAACGAGCGGACGGGTAACGAACCATCCGCTTGTGAAGAGTAGTTCGCTACTCGCTACACATGCGACAGAGACAACAGTTCGTTTAGCGAGCGAGCGGACGGGCCGACCGAAAGACTCCATGCATTGAGCGAACGGACAGACGGACGGGAGCGACTCCTTCCATTGCATACAACTTACAACTCCCCGCTCCCTCCCAAAAAAAATTAATTAAAAAATCACCCTCCTGCCTCACATTGTAGCTAGGTGTTCTTGGTGGAAATTTCTCCCCTCCCTAGATAGATATTAAATTAACCCATCTCTCACCCTTCCTCAGATTGTCCATCATCCTTTGAATCTTAATAAAGAGCGAGTTCAATAACACCATTGAAGGAAGTTATTCATCTTTAACTATGATGGACAATCTCTTTTGCATCATAATCCAGTCAGCCATCAATGAAGAAACACAACTTGAAAAAAGCGCATGAAATCCTAATCATCATTGATCATCACTGCCATCATTTACTAGCCACCCTGTAACTGCATTTACCCCAAATCCCAACATCTCACCCCAGTAGCTGGCCAAACAACTGACTTAATTCCATCATGCCGGAATAAACATCCCCAGTTGACAGCTGTACCTGGCAATCACAGGACCTTGATGCTGTATTCGCCAATGCTTTGTCGACAGCATTAAAAATGCATGACAGGACGGCACACGGAACAGTACCCCCGTCCAAAGTGAAACTGGATCTCCCACAAGTAGGAGCAGCTTGTGACCCCGACCAGTGGTCAGCATTTACAAGACAGTGGACTATGTATAAAAAAGGAATGGCCATCTCTAGCACCATGGCACCGACAGCCCTTTTCTACTGTTGCAGCCAAGACTTGCGCACTGATATCATGCGTGATCTCTGTGATGATGTCTCGACAATGACAGAGGAGGACCTCCTAGCAGCCATCAGGAGACTAGCGGTGAAAGAGGAAAGCACCTTAGTCCATCGCATCAAATTGAGTAAAAATGACTCAGTCACCTGGAACAGGAATAAGGACATTCCTAGCAAGCTTAAGGGGACAGGCATCTCTCTGCCAATATACTGCTCGATGCAGGGAACCCAACTGCACACATACATTCAACTACAGTGACGAAATTATTAAAGACAACCTGATCCGAGGCGTCGCAGACCCAGAGATCCTATCCGACCTCCTGGGAGACTCAAAGACGGACAGAACCCTTGAAGAAACAGTCACCTTCATCGC